TGACCTATCTATCTATATGCATATAAGTGTATCACGTGTAACTGGACATGATACGTGTGACGGACGAGTTAAATAAACATATACAGAGATCAAGAAATATACTTTGTTTTTTATTTCAACCGTTCTGTCATCATCATCAACCTTCCCTCCAAAAAATATAAATATATTATAACAAATAATATTTTTCTCTTGTGGGAAATGAAAGTTTGATTTCAGTTACATTCATCTAGGCAATTTCGTTGTTGTTTCTAGTTTGTGGATGGTGACTAGCAGTGAAATCCAGGATAACGCGCATTTCGTCCTATATGGGACTCGTCATTTGGATGTACCTGCATTTCCCAGTGAATGATGATGTTCCCACCGAGGCTCGAACCCAGTGCCCTTAGTTTCAAACGCCAAAGTGTTACCCACTAGACCAATTGGGCCACGAGAGCCACCTCTTGTGCGACGGGACGAAATGTGCATCCTGGATTCCACTGCTAGTTACCATCCACAAATTAAATCCTAATTAAATGCCCAGACATAGTCGAAGCATCTGCACAAGAAGCCGACATGTCAACCTGAGACCGAACACTTCGATCCAATCAATCGACGGGAAAATCTCAAATTCAATCAAATTGTTGTTTCTGCATGAGATTGTTCTTGGATGCTATAGTTGCCTATCTTAGGTTAACCAATAGTTTTATTCAAATGCGTGTTAAACTGAACTCACTCTAAATGTTAGATGGTTGGTTAATTTTTGTCTGAAGTGTGGACAAGACTTGTGTGGATTGATTCGTGTAATATCGACGACACTGTTTTAAGAAATAAGCAGAATATTAGATGGTTGGAGGCAGTCGGTAGGAAGCCTTACTTGACCAATGTTCCGTGCCAGTTGGCACTCACCAGTCAGTCAACAAGGCGTATCTGCATCCAGCTTCAAGGAACTCATGTCCCTTCTGAGATTCGAACCCGCGTCACTCAGTGACTGCTGCAGTCAGAAACTCTACCAGTGGGCTATTCGGGCTGGCTCGCGATTGACCTCCTGTAGGACTGTAGTGGATACTTTGATTGGACACACTAGTAGTTAGTGTGATGTGTCTAGTCCTTTCTTTGATACGGACTGAATTCTATTAGTCAGGTTTACAATGTGACTACCAACCATCTAATATCAATAAATTAATGTGCACCGTAATGGCAAGCTACCTAGAGTAGTGACCACATTTGAAACCTGACTGATAGAATTCAGTCTGCACCAGACAAAGGACTAGACACATCACACAAGTTACTAGTGTCCAATTAAAAATAAGGAGAATCTTTCCGATACTGGTATCTGTTTCTCTTCGAATATTTGTTGGGCGTCTCGTTATTGCGTAAGCAAGCTGAGACTTTTAGGCAAAACTCAATCTTTTCTCTTGAAATTTATTACCTCATGTATTTTTTCTCCATTGTTCTTTACTCTTCACTTTGTGATCAAGACTTGAGACTGATGAAATCAATAAGACCTAATACTGAAGAATTAATTTAATGCTCACCAGTAACTGATAACAGAATGAAGTTGCCTGGAGTTCCAGGGGGAAATCGTGATCACCTAGTCAACCTGGTTGTATGTGAGGATGAATATTCACCGATGACACTGATCGAGCGTTGCGCTACATGTCATGAATCGACAGAATTTAGGATCAATGGGCCGTAGGACTTCATCCCGGTGGTTGAATGGTCAAGGAGCTCACCTTGTAATCTAAGGACCCCGGGTTAGATCCCTAGTGGTAGTGTCATGTGTGTCTACTGACGAAGAGTGCCATACTAGGACGAAATAATGCTTCAGTATTCTCTGGTTTTCAGGGGTTCTCTAACTGAAGTCAATATATTATGAAATTTGGAGGTGGATGGTTGTTTCCGTGGACTTTTTCTCTCAGTATGGATTATTTTTTGACCTGAATTGAATCTTAGTCAACTGTACTAGCTCCAGGTTATTCGACACCCATGTGATTACAATCTATGAAACCTAGTGAATTCCTTTTAGTTTTGTAATAACCGTTGGTCACTACAGTTTTTCGATACAAAGAATTTGTTCATTTTACAAAGTCAAGTGTGTATCATTTATCGAAAATGGGTTTGATTTGAATATGATTTTCTTTTTCACCAACTAACACCTTCTAAAACGTTACTGAATGAGTGTGTTAAGGTGTTTGGCTCCATGGGATACCTTTAGAAGCTTCACAAAAAGGGTGATGTAAGTTTAGGTTTTCTCAAGTAAGAAACCAGGGTTACTCTAAACTATAGTGATCTAAAACGAAACTACCTAAGCAACGGATGTAATGGCCCTGATCAACCAATCAGATGAGACCGTAGTAAATGCGCGGGATTTAAAAAAACGCTTTTTCATATCATTTACATATACTGGATAACCTTTTCGTGTGTGCCCCAATAAAACCTCCTAATTCCTTATTAGAATCTTCAGTGATAGTCCAAACCTATTGCTGTACATAAATTCATCCAGATAACTGTGTATCATGTATACCCATCTACTATTCTACAGCACCCATGAACCTAAAAAAGGAACAACATATCTTCTCGGACAGATTTTATGTGACAACAGCGTGGATGTCTGTACAGATATCGATGTACAGTGGATGTATACCTCTGTAAAGACATTATTCGTCTACATCCACAGGCTTCCTGTAGGCCTGTTATCCCAACAGTACTCAAATACTGCCTCTTGATGGGATTTACAACTTAATTCGTGTACTGCATCTATAATTCCATGGTTTAACTATGGGCTCATCTGACTGGTTGACCAAGGTCATTACATCCGTTTATATGGTAGTTTCGTTCTGACTCACTATAGTTTAGAGCTGCAGAAACCAAAACAGAATTTTAGCCGTAATATATGATAGCTCTGTTATCTATAGCTAATTTTTCTTAATCTTAAAATAAGTATGCTTCCCAGTATCACACATTTTGTACTCCTACTCTTTACGAAGGCTAACCTCTCATTGGTTGACATTAGTTTTAACTTTTTAGTCAATTCATTGCTGTCGAGGTCATTTAAAAATTAATATATTCAGCAACCTTTCGACGTAATAAAGAATAACTGGTCTTCAGTTCCCAGTTGGTCGTGTGCATCGTCTGTTGCGCAAGGGTGACAACTCTGAACGCCTCGGTGCTGGGGCCCCCGTCTACTTGTCAGCTGTCCTCGAATATCTGGCAGCTGAAGTGCTTGAGTTGGCTAGTAATGCCGAGCTTGACAACAAGAAGAACTGTATCATCCCTCGTCACCTGCAATTGGCCATCCGCAACAATAAAACTTCTCGGTGGTGTTAACATCGTCCACAAGGACGACGAAAGCTCCGCAATTAAACCAACCAGCTCAGAGAACATAACTAATTGCAAACCTTTTGACGTGCCCTTAATTGTTGTTTGGGGATGTAACTGCTCTCCAGTCAGCTGTCCATTTTGTCTCTTGTTGTCGCTAATGCGAATATTGTAATAAGAGTAGTTTCTGCTGAGTACTAGTTAACGGTCAGATTGTGGTGTGTGTTTTGCTGACAAGGTTTTGTAAGTAGTATATATATATGTAAATTTATAACATTTGGAAGAATACTGAACAGCAGACTGATGGATTTACTGTTGAAGAGATGAAATGAACGACTTTTGTGAAACAACATAGAAAATACCAAAGTAAGGAAGACAAAAGGAGTGCAATACGGAGAACATGCGGAAATTGTGATTTTCATGTCAGGTAGATGTATTTTAGTTATATACGTACATCTGTTACGAATAGTAATGTGCTGTTACATTATCGGTGACCATTGAGGCAAATCATAATTATAAGATTTATCAGTATTTGGTCTAATTTTATCTCAAGTTTTAAATTTCATTACAAAACAACACATCAGTTAGAGAGGTCATTTAAAACCAGGAAGTCGAGGACAACTGTTTCGTCCCAGTTTGGGACTCTTCGTCAGGGCGAATCCATTACCTGTCCAGGGATGGAACCCTGACACTTGCACAGGAATTCAGTGACTCGTGAATTATAACTCTGTCGACTCTTGATATAGTGCTACACTCACCAGTACCTTCAGTAAGCATCCACTTCTCCTTGACATAGTGGATCCCACTGGTCGCCGCTTCTCACTAAAGGTTAAGGACATCCATTCGGCAGCAACCATCAGTGAGCTGGTGATTCATATTCAGATTGTTGGATTTGTGAGGATTTGAATTAGTTTAACTTCAGTTATTCGTTTCCGTTATGAACCAACATAAAAAATTTAATAAACTGAAACAACGTATATCACTGTGACTTAATGACTCAAAGTTGAATTTATTTTCACAATGCCCCTTGCCCCACCGCTTGGGATCAAATTCAGAACCTTCAGGCAAACCTTGACCATTTAACCAATAGTGTAGAATCCAATGGCAGGCCCATCAAATTTAGCCTCTGTCAATTCGCTATATATAGCGCCACCACCGACTAATGTCGTCTGTGAGTATCTGTCCTCACATTCAGCCTGATGGACCTCATCAGTCACTACCTCCCACCAGTATTTTGGGGAACTTCATCCTAAATTCAGTCACTAGTGAGCGTTAGATTGAATTTCAAGTGTTGATTTTCCGGGATTTGAAGTTGTTTAATCACAAAAACCATAAAAATGATTTTGACTGCGAGCCTGCTAAACAATCCACTTTACTTTCTCTCTAAGAGGTTAGACATTTCTCCGCATGTCTGATGAGCTCATGCGTTGGTAGCACAGAGGTAAGGACGCTCGTCGACCATGCACATGGTTCAGGGTTCGATCCCCTGTCGACGCACACCTGATATCAATGGTCGGCCTGCTAAATTTGAGCTACCGATATCACATGCTGAAAATTCCATACTTTTATCAAAAATACTTTCTGGAGTCAAGCTATAATAAAATTAAAATTAAAAAAATTAAAATTTAACCAAAAATCCACACTTATAGTTATAAGTAAATATTTTAAAAATAATACTATTAAAAATAAACAATAAAACCTACTTTCGAGTTCTAACATCAACAATTTTATTCGGAAATGATTTATTACTGAATTCAGTAGTGCATAAATTTGTTTCATGATTATTTTGAGCTGGTTTCTTAGGCTGTACTAATTCAAGAGCTTCACGTAAACGATATTCCAAACCACCACAGTAGATATCATTATCATCAGAATTAAAGTTATTATTATTATTACTTTTATTATTGTTCGGTTTAATTGAATTCCGATTAATCAGCTTAACATCCATTGCTAAAAGTATTAAACCAATGGAATTTTGTCTTTCTCTAGGCAGCTGTTCAATTAAACGCAGCAACTTTTTATCATAATAATGCTCTTTAGCATCTTTCACTCTCCATGCCACTGTAGGCATGCTCATCTGAGATGGTGTCAGCGTTCTGGTGTGCTGCTGTTGATGTTCATTTAAATTTGGTAACGATGGTAGATTACGATGTCTGCTAGTACATGTACTGCCGGCTTTTCCACTTGAACCACTGGTGAACCAATTTGTTCCTGGTGATGTTCTTCCATTACAGGATGATGATGGACATGTATTATTAGTATTATTATTTTGACATAAATAATTATTACCACCATTTGTTGTAAAATCAGATAGTGAAGAACATGCTGAGCAAAGATCAGTCAAGGAATTATTCATATCTTGTTGATAAGTTGCTTGTTTAAATGATTGTCTTTGATGACTTGATAAACTAAATGATAATGGTGAAAGAGGTTGAGAATTATTAGTATTATTATTACTGTTATTAATTATATGATTACAACTATTATTGTTATTGTTATTAGAGTTAATGTTAGACAAACAGGAGGTATTGTGATGACTATTGTAATTATGATTATGATTATGATTAGTGGATAAGTGTAGATTGCCGTCTGTAGGACTGTGTCGTAAATTCATTAAATCAATCGGTCTCTGGTAATTTCCCCCATAGACTGGAGCATTTTTGCGTTTATTTGCAATATATGAATCAGGATGGAAACTGTTGAACAGGGAGAGAGAGAAGAAGAATTCAGATAAAGTAAAAAACATCCTAGTAGTTCAATCTTTTAATATAATAATAATAACAGTAATACCTTTACCCTTAAACAGCTTCTATGCAATGTACAAAGCTTTGATGTGGTTATTGTTGCAGCTGTAATTCAGTATTTGATCTGTGTGAGTTGATTTTCTATAGACTTGAGTTTCTAATTCCCCCGTGGTTGTTCGTTTGACTAAGACATCCAAAAATGGGATTTTTTTCTCGGATTCCTCTTCTCTTGTGAATTCGATGTCGTTGAAGACGTTGTTTATTAAGTTGTGAGTTTTATCTAACTCGTTTCTTTTGATTATTAAAAATGTGTCGTCTACATAACGTATTCAAATATTGGGTTTGATCTTTGGTAGGATTATGTTTTCGAGCCTTTGCATTAGGAATTGACGTCGCACACAAACCAACAAAATCACTTCACTCAGTTCTGTGTCAACTAAAAGACTCAACAGCGAAAGAAGATAAAACCAACATCCTCTACAAAATAAGTTGCAACGACTGCGGAAAACACTACATTGGCCAAAGTGGACGTCCTCTTCGTCTTCGTATCCACGAACATAAGCTAGCCGTCAAAAGACATGAATCATTCCCTCATATCACTACATACAGACAAACACGGACATCAATTCGACTGGGACAACGTTCAAATATTAGACAGAGGAAACAACAAGAATTCTAGAGAATTTTTAGAAGCTTGGCATTCCAGTGAATCATCAATTAATAGACACATCGAGATTGGCAAAATTTATCAACCAACAAGAAAGAAACCTCACACACAAAGGGTCAAAGTTCAAGTCAAAAAAACAATCAGTTCCCACACAAGTAGCCTAGAAGGTGTGAAAACATACAAAAACAACCAATCAAGTCCAAGGTCACCAGGAGAGATGATTAATAAACTCGTGGAGAAATCTAAAAGCTCACTTCAACAAATTGAAGTATGCGCTGAAGATGTCACCTAGTAGGGTGATGAAAGCTTCACAAATCAACTTTACAGCTCAGAGAACACAACCACATCAAAATCATCCACCTGAGCTACAAATCTTCTCTATCATATCTAATGTACAAAGTTTTCAGCACAGTTCATTGTCTAGTATTTTCTCTTCCTTCACGATCATTAGTTATAACAGAGTAACTGTGATACAGTGTGCTGTCTCACCTGAAGCGCAAACCAATCATTTATGATCTTTCTTCTATGTCTGCTTCGAGAAATGCACGACATTTTGTTGAAACGTAATTATAAAAAAAAGTACCGGCAGTGAATTTTAAGAGCCAACAAAGTTGCTGAATAATAAAAGATTGTTGGCAGTTTGTAATGAAAATCTCAGGAACAGTTATCTTAAGTACTGGGTGATACGTGACCGCCAATGATTATGCTTTTTCCTCAAGTTTAAAAGAGAAACTTACTAATCAATAGGTTATAAACATTTTAAAATATTCGCGAAACTAAATGGTACAATTAGAGGTCATATTTTAATGGATTAAAACAAAGTGGATATGAGAAATGCTCAAGGGTGTAATGATAGAGGTTTTTGGCCAGCCCAAATTTTAAGCAAGCTGCTATGATGCAATTCAGATGTATTCTTGAGTTAATCATATTCAGAAAGGTTATTCAAGTACTACTGTAACAACAGAAGGCAAGACACGGAAGCCAAGGTATATTTTTCATTAATCAAACCGCTGTTTATATATCTACAGTTTATATTCGTTAACCAATCAATCACTGAGAGTATGATTTTGGTTTACATCAAACAACATGAAATAGGATGTTGAAATATACATAGTATTCTGTTGCTAATGCCGAATTGAACTGTGGGAACATGTGAGAATAACATTCCGTTAGCACATATTGTCTGTATCACACCATCGCACCACCAGTAGGTTAAAGCGTTGGATTATACCATAATAATTATCATTGTGTGTAAACTACTGAAATTATACTTTATTTGATACCATTTGTTATTATTATTTCATTTTGAGATAAATTCTTAGTGCACAGCAGATTAATGACTGATGAAAACTCCGGTCTGAAATGCACAATATATCTCCCCCTGCTGTTATACCATTCAGTCATAATAAGTATCCGATTACTTAATTTTTTCTATTCAGACTGACAGTTTACGTCTTTTCTAAGCATAAATCAATGCTTGAATAGATGTTACTTTCTGGCGGCCTTCTTAAAGCGTTGGGCTACCTTAATTTCCATTTAGGACAAAGTTCAACAATAGCGTCCCAGGAGTGCGAACGCACGAGTGACCTTCAGTTGACCAATCATAAAAATGAGGAATGTTTGCTCAAAAAATGATGTATATTGACAAGAAAATGCTTGAAAACGCATTGAACAGGTTATCTTTCTCTGACATGGCTTAAAAATACGTCCCAGTTCTAATGAGGAGTATCAGTTGCTAAGTTAGACTAGTTTCTGTACATGTATTCACTGAGATGACTACAGATAAACTGTTTTTGTGAATCGTTTATCTCTCTCATCCTGCTTGCAGTCTTCCAAAAAAGCCCTCGGTTGAATTATTATGGTTTCCAGCAAGAGGATAGAGGTCTACTTACCAGGAAAACGTGGATAATAAAACAAATTAAAATAAATGACATCAACTATAAATCTATCCCTAATCGTAACCATAAGCTTAACCCTAATGGTAATTATAACCGTGATCCTAACCCTAACCACAATACCTACCCTAATCCTAACGAGCTATTAACACATTGTCCAAACAGTACTTAAAAACATGATCTGGGGGAAAAATTCTCTCCTAAGTTGGTGAATAGCGTTGATATTTCAGCTATGATAATGACAGATGGCGTTAGCCAACGGCTAGCATGCGTTCAAGGTCATTGGAGTGTTCACACTCCTGGGACGCTATTGTTGAACTTCGCCTTCAAGAGAATGTCTAATTCAACTGTACTGCTGTTCATTTCAAGAGGAAAATGAAGGAGGACTGAGCCTTGTTTCAGTAAGGATAACCATGTATTGCCGATGAATATTTGCTTGAAGATCTTATACGAGAAAATAAATATTTTACAAGAAATTATGCAGAGAATTCTATGTTGTGTCTAGGCATAATTTCCAGAATAAAGCTCATATTATTATTATTACACGCTTAAATGTTGTAAAGATATGAAGGCAAAGTTAGAATACAGCAACCATTCCGATTAGCCCTAGTATTAACCCTGAGCAATTAATCACAATTAGGGATAGACCATGGTCATGCTTTGAGATTCATTCATGTTTCCGATTTTGTTCTATAATCTATCCTGAAATCGAAATCCTCTCCAAAGGTCAGTTATTCTGTCAAGCTTACCAGTACCCTACATATGTATGTTTCATTGAATCTAACAAATGTATTATTCACTCAGTACAGGAAGCTACCCGAAGTTCCAATGGGAAGTCATAACCAGTGGGGTCCACTAAGTTAGGTGAGAGAACAGTTACTCGCCAATGAAACTGGCTAGCGGTTGCGCTATTTATATCGCGAATCGGTAGAAACTGACATTCATGATCTAGCCATCGGATCGGGTCCCAGCAGCTCTCCCTGTAATCGCAAAGTCTCGGATTCGTACGGTGGTGTGTGAGTACTGCTGAAGAGCCCAAAACTAGGGTGAAACAGCTGTCCAGTACTCCCTTTCTGGTTTTCCAATGGTCTTTTAACTGATTTCAGCTCACGGTTTAACCTGTAGCCAATCAAATTCCTGCAAAGCAACACAAGATGTGTCCAAAACCAGTTGAACGATTCAAGAACAGAAGACATGATGTGACGGTTTTGTTTTACTACCTGTTATCGAAGGTTATATACTGAGATGGTTGGTGTAGTTTAACTTCACCAATATTGGTAATCAGTGTTGTGCATGTAATTCAACCTATCTCTCACTCTCAGACGAAGATCACAGCATTATACTTTTCCAACAGGAGAAGAACCACAAGAGGAGTTTTGGGGATTTTTGAGATCTACACATATCTGTGAATATTCTTCTTGTATTCATACTTAAATATCATCAGAAACACATCAGTCAGGCAGTTATTCTACCTGTCTATTGGATAACTTTATTATTTTTCTCTTTCTAAGCCAACTATTTGTCTACATTTAGGTAAATAAACAATGTCAAAAAATCTCTTCCATCTGTCGGTTATATTATTAAGGCGATACAGTGTCATCTCTTTAAAATAATCGTATTTTCTTCTGCAAAAACATAACGTGTCATCTCCCGTTTTGTTTTTTCTGTCTTATATATTTTCTAAAACGTAAAGGTGACATGATTTATCTTCCAGTTGTAACCATCTGTTGCTGATACACCATACATTTATATCTTAAAATAATTAGCCTATATGTGCTTTTTTTTCAAAAGTACAGATTTCAGGTGGTTGCGTAAGCCTGCCACACACTGATTTACCCGTTTTTTGTTTCTTCCCCAAGCTCTCGTGCGTTTATGTAAGTGTAAAGAAGGCAAGACAAACGGTGTTTTTAGTCTTTCAGCCAACCTTCAAATTATTTAATAACAATAATAATAATTTACTTTATTCCAAAAACAGTACTTATAATACAGAATGGAATTCCCAGCATTTGTCACCATATTGCATCCGATTTATACATAAAATTAAAAATTAAAACAAAAATTAATCGGAGGAATTTGTCCACATTTACGACATGATTATTAGATATAATAATAATAATAATAACAGTGAGTTTGTTTCAAACGGTATTGTCGATTCGGTTTGGAAACTTTTGCATGTTATAGATTATTGAGTCTAATGTTCTGTTGATATGGTATAGTGAGTGGAAATACAAAATGAACAGTTATAATACAGCTTAAATTATATCCACACTTATGAAAAAAAATAAACAAAACGAGAAAATTGAGAGGATTATAAATATAAGAAATACAATAACAATAAAGAATGATGCTTTAAGGGTGAAGGAAATGGTTTATTTAGTGGTGCTAAGAAG